TTTACTTATTACAAATTGGCAAAAACTAGTCCATTATGAAGATATTCTAAGCGTTATTATGGGTTATTTATTTATTTATTGATGTACATCTTACAACGCCATAAGTGGTAATAAGTAAGAGGGTGCTATTAATGCACTAACTAACAATCACAGAATTTAATAAAAACTAACGTAGAAATAGCTTTGAAAGTGGTATAATATGTTTATCAATCAAACTTACTTCCCTGACTGCAGTCAAGGATTATAAAAGATTTGTCACGTTCTCGTTCAAAATAACTTATCAGGGAAGCTACAAGCTCTTTGCTTCGACTGTTTAAATGCTTCGGCATATTTTCAACACACAATTTCAGGAAATGCAATACAAAAACTTGAAAATTTAGTTCTTAAAAGAACCGTTTGTGATTAAAAATACAATTTTAAAAAAAAATACTATAAAAATATGCAAAAAAACGAGAATTACTCACAAAGATTCAGCAACAACACGATATTATACAAAATAATGACTGACATTAGGATAATTGTCAAATAATAAACGACAACCTTGCTGAAAACGGCGCAATGTGGCCAACATAGCGCCAATAAAATTCGGTTTAAACTAATTTTTGCAGCTTTAACCTAAATAAAATATCTGTTACAATCATTTGCTCTATAAAGTAAAATGAAGAGCTGCTCGGTATCTTAAATTATACAACAAATTTAAACATTTTTGCCAAAATTTTATTTAGTCAAATTTATTGACTTTAGTGTCAATGTCGATATGACTGATGACGTGCATCGGAAAATGTTTTGCGATTACAATATGTCATATTTTCAGAATGTTTAGATTGACATTTCTATTTTGCATATTTAAGCATTTTTAAAATTAAAACAAATTACCTTAACTAGAGGGCTAAGCAGATCTATCATGACCAGGGTTCGGAAGTAGTTAATTAAGACGTAATTTACCTGATTAACTACGTGTAGTTTTTCTTCAAAAACTACGTCATTTCCCGTTCATTAAACTACATGAAAACTACGTTAATAAACTGTGTATTGATATTATGAATAATTTTCCTTTGTATGAGGTGTAATAGAGATAATATGATGTAAATATTATATTTTAAAAACAATGTTTATACATACCAATTAAACTTTTAGTTACGTAATCGAGGGCGTGATTTTTAAATTCATTGTTGCCAACCATGGACATATTCGGCGCCGGGCTGACTAACTGGAATTTAAATTTCCCGCTAGGGATTCAGGTGATAGCTCTGCTGTAAAGAATGTCAAGTTGCCACCTTTATTTATTTATTTCCTGACATGGTCAATTGTTTTGACACTTTAGTTTTATATTACGAGTTTTTGGTTTAAATGAATAAGGTTGTAATATTTTAAGCTTAAAAATTTTTACTAGCAGAGCATGCAGGCGAACAATGTTCTTTTTAGAACCTCTTTTAGTGCGAAGTGTACAAGATAGCTTAATAGCCGTAAAAAAATTCATCGCAACTTTAGAGTATTTTGAACGGGAAAGCGCTAGTAATGACCCTTAAGTGCTGCTAAGAGGGTTTTGTTGATGTAAATAATAACTGTTTATATATTTATAATTCATTTATTTTTGTTTCCTAAAATATTTTAATTAAAAGAAAATATGTAAAAGTGGGCAACGCTGTGCCGGTCAAGCTTAAGAATTTTAGAATTTAGAATAAGTGGGAGGGGGGTTAATCTCTGCGACCTTAGAGATCTATTGTGTCCCCCTTTCTTGAGTTATAACTCATCATACAGTCCCAGGACTTCCTACGGAGACCTGTGTCCCTCACAGTTAAGGAGCTACGACCCAGGCCGGGTAGACGAAACGGTAGCTTGTGTCGCCTGTTGGGTTTAGAGGTAGGAGGTAGGCTCCCGACCCTTGGAGGAGGTGGTAGCTTGTATGCCACTTGCGGAGGATGGTCTCACGCAAGTGCCAGCCACCTCTCCTGTAGTTCTCTTTGGGTTTGGCCCCTTGGAACTTTCATTGTTACTGTTCCCAGTGTCGCTAGGGGTTTCCACAGCTTCACCGGTGATGTTTTTTATTACTATTATTACCAGATCTCATAGTGTTCCTATGAGTCGCTAGGGACAGGGTCCACTTCTACAGAGAGCCCGCATGAAGTAAAGGGGTAAAAATACAATGGGGTGCCCCCGGTGCCCTAAGGTTGAGGCTGTCCGTAGCCCCGCCCGGTATCGTTATATGTCTTGGTGCAATTCCCTGGCCACGACACTACAGTCAGGGACAAGACGATGAGTGAGATGCTTCTTAGACCAAGCCAAGTGCTAGGGGGATTCCCCCCAGCACCTGACCAGGAGCTTCCCCACCAACGACAAGGTCTTGCATCTCCTAGGGGAAAGTCAAGCTTAATCACGTGACTAGAAGTTTATTTGGTATGAACTATAGAACATAATTGAAAGGATACCCCCCTCCACACTTTAAAATTTAAAAGTTTACTGAGCAATATTTTCATTCAAGAAATTTAAATAGTGACGCACCAATTCAATGGCAAATTGGCGACAAGAATTTGATACCGGAGATAATTTCAAAGGAGTCCAATGGGCGTATTTATATAAGTATTACAGACAGAGTTCATATCAATAAAGCTAGATTGACTGACTCAAACATTTATAGGTATGTATATGTTACAGTAAAAGTTGGAAATCAGTGATTATTAACAATTACTAGTTTTTACTAGTAATTGCTCTCATTCACTGATTTGCTAAGACTACGCCAGTAAAAGTCAACAGCTATTTTTAAAACCAACTTTTACTAGTGAATACTAACATTCCCTGGAGAAAAGCAGGGAGTTTGAAAGATTCAGTTAGCGCGATTGTCACATGTAAAATATAAGGATAAGTTGAATAATAGGCAATATAACGATAATATTAAATTGGGCTAAACATTGGCAACGTTGACAGACATCTGGCGTAAATTCGCATTGTTTTTTTTTGTGGTTATATATAATTGTTTTGTTATCGTTGTAAAAAGTGCTGTGCGGTATTTTCCCTATGGAAGAAATTTTCTGTGAAAAATTAAGGCAAACTAGGTACTCGCAAGAATGTAATAGTACTTGTTTTGCATTTTTTGCAATATAATGAAATCATAGCAAAAGTTAAGCATGCAAGAGAAAAATATATTAAGGAACATATTGACTGAACTTATTAAACGTTTTGATATGCTTGAAGTAGCGGGTTTGAAAAAACGAATAACTCCCATTGAAGAAAATTCGGGCATACTTTATTTTGTCCACGATGAAGAAGATGTAAAAAAAACGTGTACCAATAAGTAATCTTATGTTACTATGTTTTCTCTTTTAATATTTTTAAAAGGTTATGTCGTTATTTTCTATAATTTTTAATAAATATACTAAAGAAGTAAATTGTAATTTTGAGATATGTGGATCAGCTTGAATACTTAAAAGTTTTATTTGTTCTAACTTTCAACAACATTCTTTCTTATCACACTCGCCACAACAATGGAATAACTTTTACTGGCAACCTTTAGTAAATGTTACTTTCACTATAGTAAATGTTAGAAATGACTAGGAAAAGTCGACAAATCTCTTTAAAATACCAAATTCACTGGTCCAATGCGTAATTGTTAGCATTTCCTAGTGAATGTTAACAATCACTGAATTTCCGACTTTCACTGTAACATATATAAAGAAAAAAAGCAAAGGATTGGAATAATTTATATATAAATTTCCATTTTCTTGTCTTAATAAATTATTTTTCTAGTTGCTGGCAAGGAGAATTAGCTGGAACTATCAGATTAGTTGTAGAGAAAAAATTCAAACTCAACTTCAATCACACAATAATGCTGATGGGCATAGTGATCGTTACAGGCACTTTCCTCTATGTATTTATCAAAGTGATTGAACAAAATCGTCATATGAAAAACACGGAATGAGAAGTTAAGATCCACTAAAGCTTAAGAGATGATAAAATAGAATATAAATAAATACAATTTAAATTGCTTTTTTGACGCATTTTTTTATTAATCTACCATGAATATTCTTAGTAAATAGTTTTGTCAGACAAAATAGTAAGATTTTCATAATTTAAACTTTTTTCCAAAATCAATATTCCTCGGATATAATTTTAATTGTATTTTTTTAGATATGAATGATCGTATGTTTTTAAGTATAAAATACAGGGTGTTTTAAAAAAAAGGGGCATCTCTCGTGGGGAGATTCCTCACGTAAAAATAATATTTAGTTTTCATATCAACATACGTCCGATTCTGCTTTGTTTCGTAGCTACAGGGTGTTAAAGTATTAATATTTTTTCGATTTATTATAATTTTCTTCCAAGTACTTTTAGCGTTTCGAATAAAATTTTGAGGGTAAAAGTTACTATAAATGTGACATATTTTAAAGCTAAAAAAATGTCGACATATTCACCAGTGACGTGCCTATGGGTTATCACTGGAATATTTTTCTAAAAAAAACTATGTACGCCACTGACTTTTTTTCTCTTGTTAGCGAAATAGCGTAAGCAATTTAATGCCGATTAAAAGTTGTCTCTTGATATTTTCTTGATTTCGGCCTCCTTGATGAGATTGACGGAATTTTATTAATTTGCCTTGATCCAAGTCTAATAATAGCAACTTTTTTAAAAAAAAAAATTAATATCATTAACTTGCGAAAGTTTTAAATAAGTACTCATCGATTCCTCATCAAAAAATATGAAAAAAAGTTCCTATAAACATGGGTATGGAAATGCATAGTTTTAGAGTTACAGGATGTTAAAACTTTTTAAAATTAGTTTTTTTGTAATTATCTTAAACACCATTACTTTTTATTTGAAATTGTTGTAGGTAGGACTAATAGTAATAATGTTTAATAATGAATTAGGCAAAATCTATAATTTATTAGTTTTATTTTTTTTTATTAATTGTGATTAATAAAAATAGCGTTTATCTTATCAAGGAGGCCGAATTAATTATATAAAACACTGTATTTTTCTATTGCATAAATATATTATTTACTCACCGTGACTCCCTCAGTTGGTTTGGTAGATCGAAAACTTGGAGGAATCATTTCCGGTGTCAAAGAAGGCGGAGGGTCCATTCCTTTCAAACACCTCGCTACAAACCACATGGCCAGAGCGAATTGTTCATTGTTGAGTTTACCCGTTTGTTTAATGTCACATAGAGCCCTAGAAATAATGTTAATTATTAATAACATAGTTTTAATTGGGAAATTACAAATGAACAATTGCTTGAAATCTGTCCAACCTTGGCCTTCCATAAAAGAATATGAAAATTCAGGACAAGTAAACTTTGAAATCCATACAAAATCCAGACATCACCGAAAAATTCATTATGAGTTTATTTGTGCCTCAACAAGGCCTAAAAGAAGTGCTTACTCATTAAGAAGTACATATTTCATTTCCCTTTCTTAATAGATGAGAAAAACTTTGAGCATTTTTCTATTACTATACTAGGGATGGGAATTCTAGTTCCTTGAAAGGTAAGGTAAAGGAGGAACTAATCTTTTAAGAAACCAGGAACTAGTTCCTTTCGTTCCGGGGTGGGAATATTTCATTGGAACTAGTTTGTTCCCAAACTACACACCTCCAACAGGGTATTTCAAAACAAAGGCAAAAAATATTAACAAACAGACAAACATTCAACTGAAATAAAAGCTTGAAAAGATAGTACAATTTATGTTAGAATGTAATTTTATAACAAGTATGGACAGAACAATATAATAGTATTATTTCTTACTTACCATATATGAGCTAGAACTTGCTGAGGTACCCCGCTCCTCAAGAAGACATCTTTAATTTCACCACCGGAAACAAATCCATCTTTGTCCACGTCACTCTTTAGAAAAAGAGCGTCGGATTTTGCTTTTTCTTCTGGAGTTACCACCCAAGATATAGTCGGTTGTACCGATTGTACTGGCTTCGTTGGTGGAATCTGAAAAAGCATAGTGATAGACACAAAAAAACAAAAAAAAATATTTTTTTCGTTGGAGAAAAAACTTTTGTAAATTTTTTGACGCCACCCTGTATTTCCTAATTTATACTTACGATTGGTTGGACTACTGGTGGTGGGGGTACTTCCGGTTTAACGCCATCTAGAGGTCGACTAATTATGGGTGCCGTACCGAGTGGGGTGGGGATAGAATTTTCCTTAGCTGGTGGTAAAAGTTCAGCAGGCAAAGTATTGGGTATGGCGTACTTTTCTAGAGCTTTGTATACTAAATGCATGGCCTGAAAGAGATAGGAAAATCATACTTTTATATTGTTGAAACAAAACAATGCAGCGGTTTCAAGAATTCTAGCCACATATTCTATTTCTCAGACATTTTTATACTTGTTATAGTATGAGGGTCCGGCAATAGTGCGTCGGGCATCTGTAGCTCCTGTAGTACATGGAGAATTAAAAAATGAACATTTTTTGTATATGTATAGAGTATTTCAAAATTTTTAACGGTTTCGCAGATATTCGCGAGATTATTTCATATGGCTCTTTCAACGGTAAAATACGAGAGAAAAATCACTGGGTGGCTTTGATAAAAATTTACTGTGGAAAATGCCAATATGAAATATAAAACCGCGAATATCTGCGAAACCGTTAAAAATTTTGAAATACTCTAAATATAAAAATGTTTATTTTTTAATTCTCTGACTAGAAGCTACACTATTGCTGGACCCTGTATAGTATACAGATATGCACATATTGAAACATCAAAAAAGGTACTTACCACCACAAATTCGTGTCTATTTAACATACCATCCTTATCTTGGTCAGCCAAGTCCCATATTTTTCCCAATGTATCAAACGGTAATTTTGACTGCATTAAAACATTTTTTACCTATCAAAAAAATACTCTATAGTCAACCACTAGCCAATATATGCAAATATTACCTTATTTCCCGGTATCAAACCATTAAGTGGTTGCAAAGAATCAAACAATCTATCATATTTCTCCCTTTCCGTTGGTTTTATAGTCCAATCAACTGCCGATGGGGGAAGTGAGGTTATAAGAGGCGTTTGCGAAGGTCTTGGTGGAATAGTTTTTGGAATTGGAATGTCACCCTAAAAATCTCAATATATTACTCTTCCTTGCAATAATAAAAACACTATTCATACCATTTTAGGTGGTGGTACTGGTTCGTTTATATTATTCACACTTAGATCTTTGCCATTTTGAACTAGAGCCACTAATTTCAAAGCAACAAACATTCCAGCTTTGTCTAGACTACCTCTGCCACCTGGATCAGATAAATCCCATATCCGAGAAAGAATCACATCACTTAATCCAGATCTTTTTAGAAATCGGGCTGCATCCAAGCCTCCCACTGAACCAAATCCATTTGGATCGACCTAAAAGTTGTTTCTTGTTAGTCAAAGCTAGATAATTATATTTTTAATAATTTTAGTACTGTTTTAAGTACTTACCACATTATAATAGGCCTCATATACATTCATATGGTTTCCGGCAACCTAAAACATGAAAGATAAATAACATTATGTTATACTACATTACAATTTGAAAGATGTGTGAATTAACACCACTTTGGTAACAGCTAACGTATTGAATTGCTTCAAGGCGTAAGAATAACATTCTTGTTAATTCTCAGAATCGTATTCTATTTGTATGATTACATACTACATTAATTTAATATACAGCTTATTAAAGACATCAACTAAAATTGGTAAATAAAACGAATCTGTGAGGTACAGCTTCTTAAATACCAATATAATTTATTTTGGAGTAATAAATAAACGTTTCTAAACTCGAATTGGATGGAGTTTTATTCAAAAATAGCCATAAAGGAAAATTATTGATAAAAACCTTTTAAAATCTAGACCGCCCTCTCAAATGTCAAAATGTAAAATCGTATTATTGCGAATATCGAAGCACAACAACTTTGGAAATGTAAATTTTTAGATGGAGAATATCACTGGGAAACTCCACACACGTAAAACACTAATTAAATATAAATAAACAATAGATTTAATGATTATTTTTTAACCTACCTGTGTCGGAGATGGTAAGGCAGCCATCTTTTCTGTGGATTTAAACTAGTTTTCGATCATTGGTCGTCCGTCATTCGCAACATTTCGAAATCGACCAATCGCGATCGAGATCGATACGATTTTTTTGGTTGTCTTTCAAATTCAAAGAAAATTAGTAATATATTTAAAAAAATAAATTTCTTATAAATTATGCAAAACAGTATAAACTAGAACGATTTTTCTAGTCGTTTTTTTATATTTATTCTCTGAATAATCTGCCATCTATTATTGAATATATTTGAAAGAATAAAATCGATAATCAAGATGCGCTTGTTTTTAAAAAAGAAGTCTGTTTAAAAATTATTCATAATTTGACTTGATTTTTTAGGCTTAGGTTCTATAGAATTTAAATCGAACAATTAATAAATATTTAAAATTGATAAATTTATCTTTAATTAATTTGTGTATATCTGGTTGCAGAAAGACGATAATGAAAAAATTTAATGAGGTTTAGCTGCTTCTTAAGCGATGGCGCCACAGTACTGTACTTTTGCCATTTTTGCCGCAATTACTTTTTGAAAATAGAAGCGCGCATAATTTTTTTTAACTAAAAAAATTATTTCATCAATTGTTTGTTGTATAGCGTTAAGTACTACGGTTAACCTAGACGTGGCCTACTTTATTGATGCCAATTCCAGCTACAAATTCGTCCAAGATAGAGAGAACAAAAGAAAATTATTTATTTACACGATCTACTATAATTTAAAATACGACACGGCTAACATAGAATTAACTATACTTAAGTTTGGTAGAAATAGATGTCTTAAAAGCCGTTTATCTACATAATGGCGATATATTTTTTGCTCAATTAGTCTAATAATCCTCTAAATACACATATAATTTCGCAATTATACCGGTGTTTAATATGTACAAAAGTGTAATTATGTTTTTTTGTACACATTTCTGATATTGCACTCCATGTATATTTTTTGACTTAGTAGGTAATCATAAAAATTATTATGAAATGAGGTGAATTAAGAATGTTATAATAAAATAAAATTGCATTGTATGGTATAAAAATATATTATTTAATACTATTTTTTTGTACAAGAAATTTGGTAATTATAATTTAGAGTTTGGAGGGGTAGAGGCTATATTTTGCCAGTTGACTATATCTTTCCACCATGTTGGCCTTTCTGTTCCATACGGGGATGAAAATAAGGCATTTTCTAAATGATGATACACCTAAAAACATAAATGTAAAAATTTTAAGAGAGAAATTATATTATATTAAATAAAAATAAGGGTTTTAAAGCGTTTACGCGACTTTTTCCTTTTGTATTAGACAGAAGTTTTAAAGCGACATGTACAGGGTGAGTCAACGATAGAGTAAAGGTCCATTATCTCATTTGTTTCGAGGTTTACAAAAGAAATTAAATATAAATTTATAGGGAAGGTTAAGATACACATTTTAAAATTATTATAGTATATACAAGGTGCTTCAAAAAACTGTGGCGGATATAACATATGTTTTTTTAAATGCAACACTATACTTTTTATTTTATTTTTATATTCTACGTAAAATACCATAACTTTTTTATATACAATGTTATATACCTAAAATTAATAGTTTTTATACTTAATATATAAATTTGTTTAAACAAATGTTAAATTGCAGTATGGTAAAAAATTGTCAGTGATGCCATTGTTTCTGAAGTTGAAGTACCAAAACTTGATATTATGAGATGAGAGTTTTATAGACATGAAAAAAAGATATAGGTATGTAAATATATTTTAGTTAAATGCTACAGGGCGTTTAAAATATATTTATGAATTTCAACTACCTACTTAAAATTAAAAAATCTCAAAATTTTTGGTACACGTACACCCTATATTTTCATTTTTTCTGATAGATTTTACAAAACTCTTCAACTTTTATTAAGCATGTCATATACCTACTTTTAATAGTTTGCGATTTATTTCAAATTTGTTCTATTTTTACCTATAGTTTTAATACAACTACTTCTAGGTGTATTTCTACATTATGAAAAATGACACTTGGATTTTCCGTCGGGGCGAATAGCCACAGATTAGGTTAATACTAGATTCCGTAGTTGTTGACGACTACTGATATAGGAATTTTCTTCGACATACAATAAAGTTTTTTTTCTCGTAGTAATTCTGGTTTATAATTATTATTCATTTCGTAAAGCCAATATTACTACTGACGCGAAACCATCCCCATTACACACTGAAAATAATATAATATAATATAATATGAAAATGTTTTCTAGATAATCTACATCTATTCTTATAGTACTTAGCAATAAAGTACTATATAATATATAATACTGAACCAAAAAATATGTTTTCTTGGTTTGTTCGTGTATATCAGTCACACTGACTAATTCATTTTCAGAAAAAATCTATAACTATTATTTTCACCTCTATCATTTATATTTATTACAACAAATTCAACTAACATTCATTTTTTTCTTAACTTGCTTAACAGACTGAAACAGATGATAATTATAATTTTTTGTCATGGTGACTATGATATTATAGCGTAATTATTGTATTAAAGATAAGGGTAAAAATGGTAAAAAATGGAATAAATCGCGAACTATTAAAAATAGGTGTACGACATACTTAAAAAAAGTTGAAGAGCTTCGCAAAATCTACCAGAAGAAATTATAATATATAGGGTGTACCATTTAAAAAATTTGTTACTTAATTTTAAGTAGTTGAAATTCATAAATATATTTTGAACACCCTGTAGCATCTAACTAAAATATCTTGATATACGTCTTTATCTATATCTCTATAAAATTATCATACAAAATTTTAATTGTCCAACTTCAGAAACGATGGCATCACTGACAACCACACTGCAATCAATAACATTTTTTTAAACAAATTTTTAAATATTACAAAAACTACAAATTTTAGGTATATAACACTATACATAAGAAAGTTATAGAATTTTATGCAGAATCTAAAAATAAAATAAAAAATAGGGTATTGTATTAAAAAACATATGTTATACTCGCCACACTTTTTTGAAGCATCTTGTATACTCTATAATAATTTTAAAATGTGTATCTTAATCGTCCCTATAACTTTTATATATTTAATATTTTTTTTGCAAACCTCGAAACAAATGATATAATGGACTGTACTTTGTCGCAAAGTATAAATCTAATCTAAAGGTGCGTACTCACTAGAGCATTTTGCTCCGAACGAACCAAACGAGCCGAGCGCGCAGGGCCGAATTCGGCAAGTGAATACGTGTTCGCAAGCAAAATTTCACCGAACCGAGCGCGCCAAACATTTTCGCCGGCTTGTCGGTACGTGCATTTTGCTCAAAAGGGATGCGTTGTTCAGTGGGTACGGAGGTTCGTTGCGTTCATGGTGTTCATCCTATTCGGAGCATTCGCGGCTAAAAAATTTCATTGTCTTGATTTTTCTTTGCTCAAACGAAATGGAGTGGAATAGAGAAAAGTGCCTTCAGTTAATAGACAATTATGAACAATATCCAGTGCTTTATTGGAATCCAAAGGATGGATTATACTATAATAAAGTTAAGAAGTTTGATGCGTAAAGGCAGATAGATGAGATCATGGGGTGTGCTTCTGGAGAAGCAAAGAAAAAAATTGAAAGTCTTCTGGCAAGTTCCAGAAGGGAGAAGGCGAAAGAAAAAAAATCGGTGTTGGAACGGAAAAAGGTACATTTACACAAATTATAACGAATATAACAATAAAGCTTGTTTTTTTAATGGAAAGATTTGGCAAATGTCACATGATTTCTAACCTAGCTGTAAAGAAGCAATCACGTGAAAAATGTCAATTTTTTATTAAAAAAACAGGCTTTACAGCTTGTTTTTTATTTACATGGAAATTTTTCTCAATAGCCTTCCATTATGACGGTGTAAAAACAAACTTCATGCCTATAATTTTCTTTATGTTTTCTTCTTTTCCCTATCGGTAATGTTTTGTATAACGAAAAAAGCACAAGCAGCGATAATAGCATCTTCCGGGTCCATTAACACACTCGATGCAGAACGCGACCTAAAGATTCAAAGCGCGAATAAAAATTAAATACAACTGAACGTGGGAACACAGCGCACGCAACAAGCACTCAGAACATCGCGATCTTTTCCTTACTGAGTTCGTTCGTGCGCGCTCGGCTTGCTTGGTTCGTTCGGTCCAAAATGCTCTAGTGAGGACGCACCTTTACATTTAAAATTTAATTTTCAACACATACCTGTCCGTCAGATGACCCTATCACGGAATTCAACACGAAATCAGGCGCCGCAATGGCGTCCACCAACGAAACAGCGTCGTTTTTCAATCTGGAACACATTTCGGTAATCCCGTCCTGGATGAGAGATGCGGGCCGATCTCCAGCTATAAATCCGCCCTGATAGAGCACGTCGAGATATTTGTCCAGACTAAATAAACCGTAGAGTAAAAGTATCCTTTCCAGCACAGTCTTGAGCGAGGTATCTAGGCAGCTGAGGATCTTTTCTTCGAATTTCTTCAATATAAAGTGCTGGAATAAAAAATAGTAATGTTCTTTTGATTTTTTTCCATAGCAACTGTTAAAATTGCCTTATATCTATCAAAAATAGTAGATAAAATAGTACTTTAACCGCAAGGGTAGATTAAATGATACTTTAACAGCGAGTATAGGTTAAAAACTTTATTTTTTCTAGCACGTTTTTTAATTGCTTCCATTTTTGAAAATTTTTGTATTCCTTTTCATAAGTTATTCGGGATTTAAATGGAAGTATAGTTTGGATATGGCGTTTGTCGCCTCAGCCTGAATATCTGTTGGTTATTTACTTATTTCGTTTTGAGCCATTTCTGGCTTCAATTCAATCAGCAGTCGACACCATGTCGACACGAAAGAGAATTAAAAAATATTGACTCAAAACTGACAACTAAAGAGACAGCTTTATTTTGTCAAATTACATAGAAACCAACGCCAACCCAGCACAATATTTTTTCTACTCGTAGTAAATTCCTTGAAATAATAATTTTTGAATATTTTTTAAAACGTAACTCACTATGGAAAAAAATATTGTTTTATACAAGATGATAAAATTGCATTATCGTCTTGTATAGAAAATTTAACTATTTCTTTGACCTCTCGATATATATTTTTTATCTAATTTATTTTTCTTGGCTTTAGGTGAGGTAAAAAAAAGAGAAAAACGCTTTTTTTTTTAGTCTTATATTCGGAAAATACAAAAATAATTGGCACCGAATGTAACACTAAAAAAGAGAAATTCTGGAATCTATTTCCATCCAAAAAAAAGATAGTAGCGTCAAGATTCGATATTAACTAAATCTCGAGACAATAATGAAAACTTTCCTCCGACCACATCATTAATTAAAAAAATAGGGACAGTATTTTATTTTGAAAAAAAAAAAAAAATATGCGAAAATTTGTCGTTTTCTGTTTTGGCATTTCCATATCTATAGTTACCGGTACCCAAGGACTGTATATATTCTAAAGGAGTGTTCGATCGCGTCAAATCGCCGCTGTCGTAGTCGCCGTGGAATGCTACGTCACGCGCTGACCAGCGCTCCACAGTGCGGCGGATGGTTATTTTAGCGGGACAAAATCTCAAGAGCATTGTTTGGGACTTAAAATCTAAGAACGTAGGAAATGGTTTAATATATAGCAACTATATGGTTAAATTTATTTATTTATTAACAACTTAATTTATTAATAAATAAATACAAGATAATAAAACTATGATATTATTCATACATGACAAACAAAAACCGTATTGTAAACTGTTGCCAAATACATAAAATTATAATATCAAAAAACTCTTTAGCAGTTTTTTTTAATTAATTTGTAATCTTGTGACACCCTCTATAATTTATTTTAAAAAAATATATTTTATTTTGAAAATAATAGATAAGATATTTTAATTTTAATTTTAACACTCGGTAATTGTAAATTCATATATAGTAAGTATCTAAGACAATTTTTTAAACTCAGTGCCTTTTGATGGAGTTGTTTTGTTTTTATACTATCCGATTGAAATGAATCTTTTTGGGCATTCACCTGTTAAGCTTGAACTCCCTGTGACTGTGACTACTTGTGTTGGTAACTATTGGTAACTCAAAAGATCTACATCATTCAATATATCGATATTTGAAAAAAGTGAAAGTTTGATATCTGCAGAACAAAGGCACGAAGGATTTTAACAAATAATATACGTACAGTAGAAAAGTACATAACTTTGGCAATATTCAAAATAATTTGGCTTTCTAATAAAATGTATAAGCACTTGTAAATATTTTGTTTTCGTATGATCTCTGCCTTGCTGAGCAGAAAACGACCAAATTTGGTTGATAAAAATGTATCGAAATACAAAGAATATTCATGCATTTTTGTATCAATTGGAATGTCTACTATTTATTCTTATCAGTACACATTTTTTGCCTTATTTCTAACCAAACGCTTTTGTCCCGCTAAATTTATCTTCCAACGCACTGTGCGCTCGACCGTCAAATGCAAAAATACTGTCACTGTCTAAAATTTTTAGCGCCAACTTCAACTCGGTCAGTAGATGACGTAAAAAAACTGACAGTGCAGGAAGATAGGAATCGAACTATCCTTATCTCTATAGTATCCTTGACTGGTACCAGTGTTTGTTATGGCGCAAACCTTCAACAGCAAAACAAGCAACTAAGTGACAGTTTTGAATTTCTTGTTCGCTTTTTCGAATTTATATAACATAGACAGCCAGAAAGTTCTGATAATGAAGACTACTTTAATATTGGTACTTCACCAGAACTTACAGAAGCTGCAAAAAGAGCAGAAGCCAGTTTAGTTCAAACCAGGGAAATTTTAGGGGGCGATATGAAATAGCATTGAAAGTATACGAAAAACAATGTGCCGAAAGAAATGCTAAGAATAAAATACACGTTATAGAAGAAATTTTATAATCGAAATTAGGTAATTTTGAAATTAATAATAAATTATTAATTTTAGTCAAACATTACAACCCCTAATATTAAACAGGATCTATTCCACAGATATAATAGAATCGGCGACAGGGAGAGAAAAAAAATATGATTGTTGTAATTTTTTTCTGGCTAAGTGATGTCTTATTATGTATTTTAGCGACAGACTTTTCATCTGTTCTCATTATATGCGGTACTGAGTCTTTTTGCATAGAAAACTTGAATATTATTTCCCGCATCAAATTTGTTGGCTCCATTTTGTAAAAGCTCCTGTCGTTTGTCGTATGTCCGTTTTAACAAATAGCATACCAACCATTTGAAAGTATCCAAAATAACTAGAAAATAAACCAAATGACCTTTAATTTAAAAAAATGCAGGGTTGGACCCAGGGGGGTGACAGTAAACCGGAAAATTGGAAACAGTTGTGGCGCGGTTCTACCCAGGCAGAAAGCATGGCCTTCTAGCACAGAATATACACCATACAGAAGCGACAAAGAGCTTTGAATAGCATTGGTCAAATGGGAACTAATTGCGTGACGTCACGTTTGACATCCGTGCGCCAGCATTTCACACTGAAGAAAATTGTTAGATTTTAATAAAATGATGAAACAGGTTTATTAATTTTTAAAAACTAGAGGATTTAAATCAGTATTTTAATTTAGCCTAGAATTAAAAATAAATAAATAATTATGAAATATATTTTTTAGTCTTTGATTAATACTTATCTAGAAATAATTATACCTGCGGTCGTGAATTTTTTTGGTGTATAATTCTTTGACGTCAATGTTGAAAGTTAACCAGCACTGCCCTCTCATAAAAAGTTTGAAGCAAATCTTTTTTGTCGCTTCTGTATGGTGTATACCGAGGGTGCTTCTAGACTGTCTAGGCAAAAAATCTGAATATTTCGGTGAAACAGGGAAGAGACCAAAGCTTGAATAAGTCAATAAATCTAATTTATGTCATATACCTACTAACATACAAATCTGTATTTTATCTGAAAAAAATAAAAAAAGTTATAGGGTGAGCCACTTATATTAAAAATATTGTTTAGATAATGTAGGTATGTTTCTGATATTTCGGCTGAAATTTATAGAGTACAAAGATAATTTTAGATATAAAGTTCCTTGTTAACATTTTTAATAAAAGTATATATGATATTAATTAACAGGAAAATGATGAAATCGACGTTTCTGCGTGTAGTAGGTATGGGCCATATTATAATGTAAAAAATAGGTAATATATTTACATTTTATAATTTTTTATCTTTAAACCAAGCGCCTTCTACAACAACGCCACTGACTCCCAATGGGTAAATTGAGAGTTGCCTACCGGTCAAAAAGTCGTTTCAAGACTTAAATGGATTATTTAAGTCAAATTTCTTGCAAATTTGGCACTGGCGGTCCATATTTTATAGTTTTTGAACAGAAAAAGTCAATAAAATAAACACTTAAGGACTACAAGCTAAGAAAATGCGTTAATACAGCCGGGGAGATAGCGGCAACAAAGCTTTACCGCACACGTGCGACACGTACTACAAGGTAAATGAATGAATAGGCTCGAGCAATTGAAAGCAAGTTATACAATTAAAACCTGATTATTAAACTATTATTAGCCTACAATTAATTTTCTACAAGATGAACAGAAATGCGTAATTACATATTACGTAGGACACTATTATGCTGGATGAGGAATGCTATAAATCTATGTATGTAGATTATTTTAAACACGTGTACAAATGAGGTTATTAGATGTATATGTATCATATTTTTATTCTTTATTTTCATTCAAGTCTGTTTGATTTAATTTCAAAAAGTCTTATGTACTTATATTTGATGTTTTTTAAAAAATTTTTGATTCGAGGTTTTGTGTGGGTATAGTTGCCTTTCCTGCTACCAGTTATTTAGTTTTATGCCCGTGAAGCTTCAACACATTTATTTATCAACAAGTTTCTGTTTTTGAATGCACTCGTTCGCTTTTCGAATTTCTATAAAAGCCAGAATGTTGTCGGAAAGTTCTGATAATGAAGACTACTTTAATATTGGTACTCCACCAAAACTTACAGAAGCTGCAAAAGAGCAGAAGCCAGTTTACTTCCAGAGAAAAGTAGGGGCGATATGAAATAGCATTGAAAGTATACGAAAAATGGTGTGCCGAAAGAAATGCTAAGAATATTGTTTGAGTAATTTTGTTGTATTATTTACTACCAGACAGACTTTTCAAATTAACCTCGATATAAGCGGTCCTGTACAGCCCGCCATTAAAAACCGGAAACTTGAATAAATTTCATAAAATTGAAATTGTCATGCTCTATGTCATGTCAAAGCTGTCCCAGCCGTCGTATATCCGTTGAAAATTAGTTACCCAGGCAGCCACGCTGTTTCCATAATTTAACATTGACTTGACACTTCTTCTTGTATTTATTATTTTATGGTTGGACCGTGTGCACCGTCGCTCACATAGCCTACCCACTAAATTTGGTCGCGATCGGACGACATCATAACTTCTAAACTAACTGTCACAGTGGTACAGTCCAATCTATCGATAAAGCAACTTTCATTTAAATCGGCCGATTTTTTGATTTGATTCATTGATGATGGGGTTTCACAGTGCACGAAATGTCGTCAAACTATCATACAGGGTGGCCCATCGAAAACGCTCCGCAAGGCATAACGGTCAGGGTATTTTTTTTTCAGAAAATTCAAAAACACGTCAATTTTCTTTGTGAGGGGGACAACTTTTGCCCCAAAAATGATTGCTAAATGTTCAACCCTCTAAGCGGGGGTCTCATCCCCCAATATTTTTCAAATGGGAAGGGGGGTCAAGTGGTACCGCAACGAAAAGGGTTTCTATTCTCTATATTTTCCCACTTCGTTCTTGAAAATCGGTCGAGTCATTGAGAAAATATGAAGAATTGAAATTTGAAAAGTTTATTCAAACATTTATCAGAGCAAATGATAAAGATAAATTCCTTCGACCAATTTGCTGTTTTTCCTTATTATTTCTAGATGTTTACGCTTTTTTTCACTTCCCACAAGGTTGAACGATCAGGTACGGTAGTTGCTAGATAGCTGTTCTGTGACATAGCTGGATTTATAAACTCGGAAGTTGGCGTTCAGTTGAGGTTCAGTTGCAGTTGGATGTTCGCGGCAGTTGAGGTTCAATATTTTTGCATTTATAAACTGTCAGTTTCGGTTGTAGGTTAGGTTTGGAATTGTGAAAATTTCGAACGTTTTTCTTTCGATTTAAAAATACTTCTGGTATTTGTCAAAGTTCAAACACAGTAATCCACGATTACGCAAAATATAAACATCACATTAACAGAAATAATGAAACAACAATAAGGGTCATTTTCCAATGCATCGGCGTAGTGTGCTTCATGTGATCGACAGGCGCTTCTTCATTGGCTGTCGCCGAACGTCGCCAGCGGTCGCCAACTGCCCGCAACTGCCGACATAAACATTGACCATCTTTGAACTCCGCTGAACGTAAAACGAACTGCCAACTTTTCGACCAACTGACTTTATAAATGCGCGCGTTCATTTCATAGCGTTGAACATTTTGAACGGCAACTGAACCTCAACTGAACCTCAACTCCCGAGTTTATAAATCCAGCTTTATGCGTTGAAGTTCGTCTCAATATCGTTAAACTTTTTAACAATTATGGTGTACTCACTTGCAGAAAAAGTGGAAATAATCGAACTTTATTTTAAAAATAATGAATGTGGCAATAGGGTTGCGCAGATATTCAATGAACGCCATCCTGACAAACACCTTTATGGCAAAATTGTTCGCGAGTTAGTAGCAAAATTTCGCGAAACTGGATCCGTTATGAATAAAAAGAGGCAGAGGGAAAATCCTGTAGTCATGAGAAATCCTGTAGTAAATGAAGCTATGGAGGTATTCGTATTGGGCCAAGTTGCCATGGACAGTACGCTGAGTAAAAGAAAATTAGCCCATGAGACCGGCGTCAATCGTACAAGTGTCCAAAGGATATTAAAAAAACAAATACACCCGTACAAAATTCATTGGTACAAGAACTCAAAGAAGACGATTTTGATCGTCGTTTGCAATTTTGTGAATCTATGAGTGAACGAGTGGCGAATGATAATAATTTCCCATTTAATGTGTTTTTCGGATGAGTGTATTTCCTTTTTCAACGGTGTAGTTAATCGGTACAACTGTCGGTACTGGGCTGAGGACAACCCCTGGGTTTTTCACGAGGTCAAAGAAGTTTCTGTTAAAAATGAAATAAAGTAAAATGCCACGAGAAAAGAAAAATATACAAAAAGTACGAGCTGTATGCTTTTTTATATTCATCCAATTTCATACTAATAATTCCTTTTTTTATATTAGATCATAAAAAACATATTCAAAAACAAAAATTATGCCTGTATTACGTGTTCTCTTAAGTGGTAACTTCTGTAAAAGAGGGAAAAGAAACCGCGGAAAACCTCATTTAAAAAAAAACTTTTTTAATAATGAAAATTCTTTTGAATCGTAAATCCTCTTTCTTTTTCTGCCCTTTTTTTAGGTCATATATACCCCCATTTTTGTTATTTTCAACCGTTAAGGACTAATATAACACTTAACTTTCAAACAGTAATAATTTTGTTCTTATCTGATATACAGGGTGGTCCAAACTGTATTCCGGAAACTTCGGCAGCATTTTCTGCTGATAAAAATAAGTAAAAAAGTTCGTATAAACGTATGTCCTAAAATGCGTAGTTTCGGAGATACAGGGTGTAAAAATTTCATTTTTATTTTGATTTTTTCCAAATAATTTCTGAAGTAACCTCAATATTTGGATGACAATTGGTATCTAGGGGTTTTTTGACATGAGAAATTTGATTTTGATGTCAATATGACTCATACTAGTAGAGGGCGCTACCTACATGTGTTTTGACCTTTGAATAAGAAGACTAAGGAAGGAGCATATCAAAAATCTTAGGTACACCGCGATGGGCCTCAAATATGGCCGACTTAAATTCCGGTTTATCAGTGTCGTTTTAATTTTATTTAAAAAATGTAAAACTATGATGTAGGGTAGACGTGGGGTAGACTCAATAATTTGTTGTTTTATTTTACGTTGTGAATAAATGTTGGTAGTTATTAAAATTGTTATAAAAATATATAATTCTAATAAAAATAGATAAGTTATAATAAGTATTTATTAACACAAACATCCGACACGCTACTGAAGCAGGTAAGTCAAATTAACGTATCTAAATTCTTTGACATCTAATCTTTGACAAGTAATAAATAAAAGCTGAAATGCAAGAAAAATATATAATTTAGTTAATTTAAGTGAATTTCATAAATGATCGGTTTACTACACGTATGTATATTATATAGTCACTTACTAGCGAAACGTTGTTCCATTATTTCACTCAATTTTTGCCGAGATCTACCGCACGCTACACAACCGACTATTTTAGAGTCTTTTTCGATAAATCGCGATAGTGTCACTGTTAATTTAAGTTCTGCCACAATTTCCATCTAGATTTACTACCTTTATACAACTATCAGTAGTAGAATAAATAATAAATAACATAAAATAAGCTCCGTAAAGACTGACAAATCTACAAAATTTCAAATCAAATTCAAATGTGTCAAATGAATCGTCAAACAGAACTGTCAAGGATCCCCACCCTAGAGTGATTTTTCCGCCCACCATGCATGAATACATGGATAGCATTATGTTCATTCCTTAGTCTTCTTATTCAAATGTTTTGACTGTTTTGAAGCGTCATAACTTTTTGTCCGTACCTGTATAAAAGTATCGAGTGAAAAAATATACATCTCTGTGACTTTTTACGTATAAAATACCTCTTTGTAAAAATCGCTACTAGCAACCGTTCTTAAAATATTTAGAATAGTAATAGTCAATACATCAGTCAAGCCGTTTCAGAGGAGTAATTTTATATATTAGATAACTTTACCATCAAGTCTGTACAGTTCTTCAAAGTTATTTGCAGAAAACTTAAACGTATTAAGAATGTTTATAGCATCATTCAAGTAATCCCCAGAATTAACAGGAAATGCTAAGGTAGTTCCTTCAAGAATACTTGGCCATATTTTCAAGAGGAAGTTGCTCGTTTGCTGATTCAGCACCCAGTTTTCTCCTTCGTAGGTTAACGCTGCGTCTTGGTCGTTTCTAAGGTTTCCAATGCCAGCAGCTAGAAAAAATAATAATCAGTTATATTTATTAAAATACCAACATGACATTTATGCCAATAATCAATAGTGACTTATATGTTATAACACGCCAGTGGCATATAACATTTTATCCAACAGCAGAACTGTTTCATGTCGAATCTCTAAAGAATAATCGATTTAAAAGGATCTACCAGTTCTACTTTCATTGTTGCGAATTAATAAATTATCAGTTTATGTTACTATGCAATATAGATGTGCGTTTTGTTTTTTTGTAAATGAATAGCACTGACATTAAGACGTCATTTAGGTAAATCGCGATTTTTTAACGATAAAATAGTGAATTATCAACCAGCAAGTCAGATTTTAAAGAAAAATGATTCAGGAAGATCTTCCACAAGAAATTATTAACCAGGCAGACGCGGCTACAGCACAAATACTGCCAGAAAAGTCTCGAGGCGTATATGATAGGGAATTATAATAACACACTAGTTTGTTATAACTTCAAAAACTCAAGCGAGTGTTATTATTTGTTTTAAATGCATGTATACATCTGAGTAATGTCTGTATAAGTAGTGGCTGTTGGATAAAGATATTTAGAAGAGACATATTTGTGTGGACATCCTGTAAACTATTGTATGCTATTTCGAGTCAAGAGTTAATTTTTTGATGTAATTTTCATATTAAATCGGCAGTACCTTTCAAATATCCATGACCACCACATGCTTCTCTGCTTGATTGTATAGCATCTCTCATGATCCAGGTGTATAAAGGCTTTGCAGCCGATGTTATCACGTGGATTTCTATTCCCAGCATACTGATATAATCATGGATATCTCCTTGTTTTATTATTCTTACATGTTCGTTAAAGATTCCTTTAAGATACCTCGAAAATACTTTGAAAACGTATACTGAAGCCAGGTATGGTAAAAGTCGGTATTGCTGCAACAAAAATTAGTGTGTGACTTACTCAGTTCACTGTAGACAAAACTGCATGTGTATGTGCGACAGGCAGTAGTAAAATAAAAACACTAAATCATGAAAATACACCAAAACACTTTTACTTTTACACTGGACGCGCGTTTCGCTAACCATGGTAGCATCATCAGTAGATGATTATAAACTAAGAGGCTAAGGCAGTAGTACTGGATAACTAAGGCAGTAGTACTGGATAAACTGCGCAGACTGGTTTGCACAGTCAGTATTTGCTGAAGAACTGAGCGTCTGTGGTGGTCTCTAATGCCGGGTCCAGACCAAGCAGACAAAACAACGACAAGACAGAAACATTCATATTTTACGACAGAATTGCGACAAATCCAATACAGTTCTGCGACATTTTTGTCTCATTTTTGTTTTGTTTAAAAATTCGGAGAATTTTCAATGCCCCGTCTCGAGTCGGTAAAGATCAAAGTGTTCAAGTTGTCAGCGCAGTGTGGATGGCGTGTGTAGCCAACAGTAGGAAACGAGTGAAATAGTACATGATTAATAAAACATAGTCGCAACAACTAAATTTTTGACTTTGTTGTACTTTGCGGTCTGGACAATTTGTCTCAAGTTTGTCTTGTCAGAATTCCCCATTTTTTTGTTGCAAGTTTGTCTTGTTTTTGTCTCAAAATCGTGTTTACTTTTTGTCGCCTTGGTCTGGACCCGGCATTGACTTGAAAATTAAATTTTGAAAATAGTAAACAAAGAACTTAGGGAATGCAATCCCGCACCAAAATATCAAACCCGCAAACCCGCGGGATTAAAGCAATCAATCCCGCGGATCCCCAAAATTGCGGGACTGTAAACTATAGTCATACATTGGGTCCTAAACGGTACAAAAGGCATTGTACATTTTGCATAGGCCCACAATATATTGATATAGCGTGTATCTTAAACTAGCTGTATAGAAATCTGGACACCGATGTATACAGGGTGTTCAAAAAATATATTTAATATTAAATACATTTAAATTTTATTATAATTTATCTACTTATTTTATAAATAAAAATATTATTCTGATTAAAGTTTTTTTTAACTTGTGTTAGTTATCTTTTAGATACACTCTATATCAATAATTTTTTGGCATATTCAGAATGTACAAAACTTTTTGTACCATTTAGGGCCATACCTATGACTAAAAATGCATATTTTTCGAAAAAACGTCGTATTTTCCTTTAAACAAAAAAAAAATAAAAAACTGATAAACTGTTTTTTTAATTTCAATACAGATTCGTTGTACTTGGTAAAAATTTCCATTTTTTAGTAAATTTGCGGTAAAAAAGATTCTTGATCAAATTTTCACACTCTTATAAAACACCCTGTTTACCAGAATTTGCTAAATATATTTTCGAAAACCACATCAGGATCTTAATCATAATAGATTCATCTAAAACCTGGTCCAAACCGCATCTCAAAATCTTTTTTAGTTCAAGAGATATTCAACTTTAAATTTACCCTAAAATTTTGCTTGCCCCAATAATTATGTCCTGCAATTTATTTGACGAAATTGTCCACAAGTACTAGTTAAACGCTTTTCTTCATTTACGCACATACGCCAGAAAGAAATCTAACAACTAGCCTGTTTGTTTCACTTATTTTTAAAGGCCAAGTCGTAAGGGGAATACCCCGGGTTCCGAGCGTCGACGCATCGCCCCGGAACGAAGCGGTTTGATCTTAATCGAGATCGATTCGGTTACCCAATAGTAATGTGTTGATCCCGCGGATCCAGCACGGTAAATCCCGCAACTTTGATCCCGCGCAATCTCAGAGGGATCCCGCATTTGCGGGATCCAGTATTTGCGGGATTGCATTCCCTAAAAAAAGTTCTTTCAAATTATATTTCCTATATCAATACTATTCATAAATATTATTTTAAGCTTCTGATACCTGAGTTTGGTATTCCAAAATTGGAATTTCTTCGTCTTGAGGTCCAAATTGCCTCCTCACTCCAGAATACCTTACGGCTATGGTCACAGCATGTCCTCCCAACGTTTCCGAACTGATTATAACCCCCACTCTAGCTCCAGAAAGAGCCAATAAGGAAGCTGCAAATCGCTGACTAGGACTTTCAAAGGGTGTGGAGTAAGTACCTTGACTTGTAACACCACCAGTCTTGTTTACCAGGTACTTTCTTGGCACTCGGTAGTTGTTGAAAATTAGAAATCTGTGAAATGTACAATGTTGTTTGTTACTACGAAAATATTGCACCAAAATAATTAATTGTTTTAAATAATATGTTATAAATTATATCAGAACATATAATAAAAAATAGAGATCGTGGTAATGCATTAACTACTGAAGAGTAGCTAGAAATGCTTACTCCTAGTACTATAAATTATATTGTGTTTATGATACTTTTTAATATATAGTCTTTCCAACGCCTACAGGAAGATTTCAACAGACGGCATCCAAAAAACTACAGAAAATACAGTTTTCTTATGAATTAAAATGACAGGCACAACATTAACTGTCATAGATCTTCCCGTTGGACGGACTATACCACGAGTAATAGATAATAAAAACATTTTTGTGAAAGCGTTTCGAAATTGACAGTTTTTGATATTTATTTGAGATTCGAAATGACATTATTTTAAGCACTAGTATCTTCCCCTAGGAAATGCAAGACCTTGTCGTTGATGGGGAAGCTCCTGGTCAGGTGCTGGGGGGAATCCCCCTAGCACTTGGCTTGGTCTAAAAAGCATCTCACTCATTGTCTTGTCCCTGACTGTAGTGTCGTGGCCAGGGAATTGCACCAAGACATATAACGATACCGGGCGGGGCTACGGACAGCCTCAACCTTGGAGCACCGGGGGGCACCCCATTGTATTTTACCCCTTACTTCTACATGCGGGGCTCTGTAGAAGTGGACCGACTGTCCCTAGCGACTCATAGGAACACTATGAGATCTGGTAATAATAGTAATAAAAACATCACCGGTGAAGCTGTGGGGAAACCCCCTAGCGACACTGGGAACAGTAACAATGAAAGTTCCAAGGGGCCAAACCCAAAGGGAACTACAGGAGAGGTGGCTGACACTTGCGTGAGACCATCCTCCGCAAGTGGCATACAAGCTACCACCTCCTCCAAGGGTCGGGAGCCTACCTCCTACCTCTAAACGCAACAGGCGACACAAGCTACCGTTTCGTCTACCCGGCCTGGGTTGTAGCTCCTCGACTGTGAGGGACACGGGTCTCCGTAGGAAGTCCTGGGACTGTATGATGAGTTATAACTCAAGAAAGGGGGACACAATAGATCTCTAAGGTCGCAGAGATTAACCCCCCTCCCACTTATTCTAAATTCTAAGCACTAGTATCTAAAAGTGACACTTAATTAGGCACTAGTGCCTAAAAGTAAAAAATGAAACGTTAGAAACAATGAAAATATTTATTTATTATAAATCTTAAAGGTACAATTATTTAAATTATTAAAGAGGCATCCAACTTTTCGTCTCTAAGAGAAATGCAAGTTGTAGGAGTCGGAATAAGGAAATTTCTTGTACTGGCAATGCTGGTAGCTTCTGCTTCTACGTAAACGGCTTTTAATTTCATATTTGGCGTATCTTTCCGTCCCATGATTCTTTTTGCTATTTCGGTTTTCTGTTCAACTGAATTTTTAATGTAACCTTTAGCAACCGAGCTTGATCACCAACCTCCATGTTGCTTTAAAACTGTTATGTCCGCTACTGAATCTGCCAGCATAGTTGCAGAGCTGCGCAGGAAACAATGACCAGTTTATTCAATGGCGTTGGAGAGTCCAAGAAATTCCGCTATCCTTTTTGGTATATCCCCAATAGTATTGATTCCACCTGGCAGAGTACAGCATTGATTTTTTTGATACGTCAAGAAAAATCGCTGATGTGTCACATTGAGTGGTCGAAGTTTTGCGTACTTACGAAATACCTGTAAGAAATTGATACCATCTATTGGTCCCTCAGTGGTCATAAACACTCTTGGAAAATGAGTTTTTGTATTCGGAATCTTCACACTAATAAATGACTGACAATCTTTAATGGCACCTACGGTCAAAAACGTGATTTCTTGTCTCTTACATGCTCCAAATACTCCAACGATTAACACAACTTTAACTAACAGGAATTTAAATACTTTTGATTTCTTTGCCTGATATCCGGAAGCTTTTCTTTTTAAAAGTGCAATAAGGTTTGTAAATTTGCTAATACCTACGTTCCTGTTTAGGTAAATCATGGTGCGGAGCATCGAATATTTACTCCACAGAATTGACGGCTTTAAGGTAGTGGATAACTTCAGGAAATAGGCTAGCAATACCTTTTCTGTGAAATTCTCAACATGATTTTCTTTGACCCAGATTTCAAAGTTGTTGTAGGTGGTCTCGTATAAGTTTTTCGACTTCTCGGGCACTAACGTGGATAGCGCAATTTCAGCAGCTTGTTGAATATCCAAAAACTAGTCATTATCACTCATTTTTTTACAAAACTTTGTAGGAAATACGGGCGACGTTTGAACCTCACAGAATTTTGTCATTAAACAATGCATAAACATGGCATAATCAATGCCTTAGAAACCGATTACCAGAACATTTTAAAAAATGTTTAAAAATAAATAATAATAATAGCATGAAAATCTCAAATTATCCGCTTTCACGAAAAATCTTGTATGAAATTCGTTGCGAAAAGAGTGTTTTAAGCACTCGATGCATTGTCCAACTTGCTCCTCGTTGGACAATTTTGCGTCCCGTACTTAAAACATATTCATTTCGCAACTTCTTACATAAATAGCTATTTTGTATACCCGTTGTCAACTCCATTTAAACCAATTTTTTCACCCATATCTCCTACGGTAACACCGGGATATGGTAACAAGGTATCTGGATGTCTGATAGGAGCCAGGAATATATGAGGCCCGTGGTTTTTTCCGTCCACATAAAGCTGTGCAAAGAACAAAGCATGTGTTGCAGCATTTCCAAGACCTAGAAGCATATATTTCAAGTATACAAGGTGCTCCGAACTCTATTCCGGAATCTTCGACAGAATATTCTGCAGATAAAAACAAGTAAAAAAGTTCGTATAAACGTATATCTTAAAATGTTTAGTTTCGGAGATACAGGGTGTAGAAATTCCATTTTTATTTCGAGATATTTTTCAAATAATTTATGAAGTAACGTCAATATTTAGATGAAAAATGGTGTCTGGGAGTATTTTGACATGATAAATTTAAATTTGATGTCAATATGACCGCTAAGTATGGTTCCCAACCGTCCCGGTTTAACCGGGATCAACCAGGAATCAGAAAGTTTGTCCCGGCGAAAATTTTGCCTTGGCCGGGACCTCAAAAATCACATTTACATATAATATATTTTAATTTCTAATATTTAATGTTTTGTTTCAATTATTTAAAAGCTTAAAAATAATTGTCCCGGAATCGCCGATGCTCAAGTTGAGAACCCTACCGCTAAGCAATATTATGATATTTTTTTACTTACAGTGACAAGAGGAACTAACTTTAAAAAATATTTAAAGAATTTCGAAGCCATTTTGAATTGTATTCTATTTATAAAAATGAATTTTATTTATAAAAAATAAAGAAAAACTTACCGCCTCCCCAAGCTTTGGCGGCTTCAAAATCTGGAGTGTGTATGATGAATTCATCTGATTCCTTGTCGTATGTTGCTCTAGTTCTGATACCTTTGACGTTAGTGCCATGCCCGATTTCAGTGAGAATAAAACAACCACTAATCTTAAACAAAAAAGAAATAAAATAAAATAAGTCTCTTTTATGTTAAATAAAGAGTTTTTAAAAAACTGCATATTATTTCGTGTGTTATTATTACTTTGCCCTGTTCTGACTGCTTTCGAATTTCCTGTAGATCTTCGTCTCCAAAAGCTCCTAATATTCCATTAAAGACAGTCAGAGTCATTGCAAGTCTAGTTTGTGTCGATGGAGCAAAATCATAATACATGAAGAAATCTTCATCGAATCTAAAATAAAAATAAATTAAAAAATACAAATGAAATGAAAAAATTGGACTCGCGCACAAAGGGTTCCGTACCATTCATTATCTATACAACATTAGCACAATATTAGACTACTATATTATTATAAACTTTTTTTCCGATTTAGCTGAAATTTTGAATGTGCGTGTAAGTAATTTAAAAAAAAATGAAGAAACACATTACTAAAAATTGTATTAATCAATAATAAATATGTAAAAAGTAAAAATAGATATGTAAAAATATGTAAAAATCAACGTCATAGCAGCGTAAAGTCCTAACGCTTTAACCACGCGGCCATCGAGGACTTGAAAGATTCTGTGTAAAATTCTTACTTAAAAGATAATGTTTAGTGAAAGTACTTTTTTATTTATAAACATTTATTTAATTCTGTTTTTAGTATTTGTTCTTATAGCGGCAACATAGATACATTGTCTGTAAAAATTTCAACTGTCTAGCTATAACAACGGTTCATAAGATAGACCTTTGTGACAGACGGACGGACGGACAGACGGACGGACGGACGGACGGACAGCGAAATCTTAGTAATAGGGTTCCCGTTTTTACCCGTTGGGTACAGAACCCTAAAAACAATGAAAATTTTCTATAGAGGCTATAAAAGATTAGAAAATATATTTTATAGGAATGATAAATTTTAGTCTATTCAGTTATAGATTTTAATCAAAATCCAACCTGCTTGTTATATAAATAAAATAAAATTTATTGAGGTACATACAATATATCAAATAAATAAATCAAAACAAACTAAAAGGGTTTTCGTAAATTTAGAAACATATTTATTTAAAAATGTCAAAGTTGTTCATATTTTAGTTGGTTAGTGTAATACAGTAAATAAATTCAATGTTTTCAAAAAATTTAAAAAAATATCTCTATATTTTTTATTGAAAAACTCTACATTTTGCTTTGATTTTTTTCCAAGTATAATGTATGATAATGTACCTTTGTCTCACAAGAAAAAGGTTTCTCATAATTTGTATTTCTATGATAGACCTATTCTCAAAAAAAACATGGCGAGTCTTAAATAAGTGCAAATATTTTCAGGGCTGGTAGATCTCGATAAAAGAAACATATTTTTTCTTTACCGTTTTTCAGTAGTCCAAAATAACCGAGCTATTTTACAATGAAAATAGAGAACCACTGGATTTTTTCTGGGTTTTCTTTCTTGTAAATTTAATCTGGTTAAGATATTATCACAGTTTAAAGAATATAAAATATATCAGTTGACCCACTCTTCGCCCGTATCAAAATCCCTCCCGCCGCTCCCCGCCTGTCTTGTAGACTTGGGTCAGTCTACATCCGTTGCTCGACGTGTACACAGCGTTCCAAGTTTATTTTAGTTTGGTTTGGTGTGATATATCAGTTTATTTTAGTTTGGTTTTAATTACTGTTCATGATAATCATAAAATTTAGAAAAAATTGCAAAAAAATTGACAATGTTAACACAAGTTGTATGACAAGGTACTTTTATTACCTTACGATAAAATTTGGGCTTTCCGGGTAGGTAATTAAAGTAAAATGCAAACATCTATAAAGCAAAACATGCTATAATTTAAGAAATATGCAGATTATTATTATATATATATATATATATATATTAAAAAATTAACTATATATATATATATATATATATATATATATATATATATATATATATATATATATATATATATATATATATATATATATATATATATATATATATATATATATATATATATATATATATATATATATATATATATATATATATATATATATAGAAAATCTGGGATTTAGTGGGTTGCAGTCGGAAGGGTTTGACAAAGAATTAATACACTTTGTTAATTGTCGAATTGTTAGACAATTAACAAAGTGTATTAATTCTTTGTCAAACCCTTCCGACTGCAACCCCACTAAATCCCAGATTTTCTTTCTCACTAGTCAGTCGAGACTACTTTCTGCTTATATATATATATATATATATATATATATATATATATATATATATATATATATATATATATATATATATATATATATATATATATATATATATATATATATATTATATATATGTATATAATAAGAATTTATAATCGTTATATATTAACATTGATGGTAAAATATGTAAATTATTTTGTTGTAAAATTAACATGAATAAATTAGTATTATTAGATAACGTACTTAATTAAAATCCGTTTTTTATTTCACATTTCAATTCATATCGTATTTATATTTGTAAACAATGAGATATGTTATTAAATAATAATAAGAAGAAAGTAAATAAATATTGATCAATTATTAAGGACGCCTAAAATTGTTAATCAATAAAACTAGTACTGTATTTTTATTTTTCTACTTGCTGTATTAAAATTCTTTAGTATTTTTAGTTGATCCCTCGTATACGGCCAGCGTTCTGACTGATAAAATAGCACTTCCGCTGCACCCGGTAAACGTACAAATTTTTTGTCACCTCGAAGGGTCACGGGCCGCCTTTGAAGTCAAAATTACAATAGAATTCCTTAGAGTGGGTCAACTGATATATTTTATATTCTTTAAACTGTGATATTATGTTTTTTAATTAAAAATTAGAAACATTTCAAAAATCCCAAATTTTCAAAAAAATTTCGATTTATAGACTCATCAAATCGTTAGACTATTGACGATGATATAACCGAGAATCACGGTTCGTATTCCACGTAAAGTAGGCTTTGTCTAGATTATCCCCAGCAGTAAAAAGAAGACATAAATACTCACAAATAATTTGAAATTGTGTATCTGAAAATTCCCTAAAAATTTTCCGTAATTTTTAAAACAAAAAAGATAATGAACTCCATTCTATCGTTGACTCACCCTGTATATTTCTTCCGGTTAACTCCAGACGATAATGTATGTGTCCATTTATTATGTTACATACGCCAATATTAGTAATGCCATATCTCTATCTGTCGAAACGTTGCAAATTAGTTTGAAAGCCCTCGAGCTATTTAATAGTAAAGTTTGTGGGCGTATTATAAATTCAATGGCACGCTAATGAATGCAGTTTAATGAATAAATGTAGAAGTCATTGACATCTGTGTGTAACGGACCTAATATTGAATTACATGCATTCCACATCAAAATGTTTATTTGTAGTGTCTAGTACCCCTGAAATTTAGACATTGCCTTTTCTACCTTTGTTTTAAAAAAGAATTGTAGTTTTTAGGTTACATATATTTAAATAAAATTAAAAAAGATGCCTAATGAATAAGGAATACTTACATTTTTTATTTTAGGGCTTATATCTTTTCCTGTTGTCAGAAGCAACAAATAAAAAGTGGTTTAAAGTTAGAGTTCAAAATCAGATTTTTAATATAAAAGTTTTTGTTCCTGTACACGGTGTTTCAAAAAACATGTGCCATCTCTCGTGGGGAGATTCATAAAAAATAATATTTATTTTTCATATTAAAATAAGTCCGATTCTGCTTGGTTTTGTAGCTACAAGAGGTTTGCCATCATCTTTTGAAAAATTAAAGTGCCTTAGTTGGTTCTTTTATAGAAAATCCAATATATCTACAAGTCATCGTAATATAAATCAAAGAACTACTTTATTTTTCTTTGTAAAATAATAAATACTTACTTATTAAACTATTGTAGGTAAATTAAATAATAGTAAACTATTATAAATTAAAATAAAGCCAATAAAATTAATGACGATTTTGAAAATAGCTACTAACTGTCACTAGCAAATTGCATACAATTTTAATGAAAAATCGCTTTTTATTCAAAATCTGAACCAGATAGGTATAGGAAACCCTAATATAGTTTGAGAGAGCATTTAAATCTTCTTCGATTTATTCAAAAAAATACATAGTGTTGCATTTAAAATAACAAAGTTTTTATGTAAAATAAATATTGAAAATAGACCAGCAATTTTTGATACCCATGTATACATTTAAGAAAGCAATCAAATATTTTAGTAAAATTTATTTCTCTGGCTTGAAGTCAGCATACGAATTAATTCTGAAAAATAATGTACAAGGTGTTGAAAAACTTTTTTTATTATAGCATGCATATTTAAATATCTCAAAAACCAAAGCTTTTAAACATATTAAACCCTTATAATAAATGCCTTATTTTATGTCCAAGAATCCAAAAATGAAATAAAATACAGGGTGTTCCATAAGAAAAATTATAACTTTGGTATGGATCTTACTTCTGACACACCCTGTACATTCGAAAATAATTTTAAATTATGCACATTGCCTTCCCACATACACCCATAAAATATTTTGTTTCTACATCTTTCCGTTTTCGTATAATCAACCGAGCCGAATGAGGAGCGCCACCCTGTACAGGGTGGGTCAAATTCGACGCTTTTAAATGGAAACATCCTTTTCTATAGGAGATAGACGAAAACTAATATCGGTGTCTGGAGCTCAATTTTCATCAAAAATATGATGGTGAAAACCGCACAACAATATCTGTTTTTCAAAAATGTGCATTTTTAACAAATCGCTGTAACTTTTTTGCTATGGAAAATTTTATATTTCTATGAAAACATTTCCAAAGCACCTTTTTACGTAGAATTTAATGGTTTAAGTATAATTTTTTTAAAATTAATAATTTAAGAGTTATCAACAGAAAAGTTGATTTTTTATTTGGGACACCCTCTATATTTCTAATTAACTGAAAAGAATTTAAAATTACCTTTCCAAAAACTTGATATTTTGTTATAATCCCCTTCGAAGTACAGAATTTTTAAAAGTTCGCCAGTTTTAACTAGTAGGCTTTGGACCCCTAATTGATGATATGCCCGTAATGGAACTCGAAAACATATTTTTCCAGCAAGACGACGCACTGCCTCTGAACGCTGAAGTTATCAGCAAATTTTTGCAGCCAATTTCAAAAATAATTGAATAGCTAACCAAGATCCAGCCGTTGGCCGTCGAGGCCGCCTGACTTAGTGCCCATGGATCTAATCCTATGGATATATTTGCGGAAGAATA